CACCACCCGCACCAGGTCAAATTACATACCCAAGGTCACACAAGATGCGAATTAGATCTAGAAAACTAGGTCTCTGGATCCAGATCTGGTGCTTTTTCCCAGAACTCCTTCAGTACTTCAATGACTATGTGATTTGCTCAGGGTGACCATGCCTTCCTCTGGCGCACAGCAAAAGTCTAGCCATATTCTTGTCACTGTCTTATTATTAAATATTATTAAATCCACATCCTTTGCAATATTCTATATTTTCTCCCCGTAAAAACTGGAATCCAGGTACTTCTTTCAAGTAGCAATGATACTTCCTATTCTATAAACTGCTCCCTGTTGTATAAGTCAGTCAGCAAGTATTTATTATGAACTTAATATGTTCCAGGCCCTGTTCTAAATGCCGGGAATATAAATACAAGTGGGGGAAAAAAAGGTAGTTCCTGCTCTCCAGGAGTTTATACTCTAATGGAGAAATACAATTTGTCAAAGGAAGATAGTATGTCAAAGGATGGGGGGGGGCACAAAAGTAACCTGACCGGGGGTGTGAGAAGAAAACACGGCCACCTGGATTCCTGCCAAGTGGAGAGTTTTGGAGGGAGCTACCCAATCAAAGATAGAGACCTGAAAGGCCCAAGGTGCCACATGGTGGAGGGCATGCTAGGTAAATACTCAAAAATTACTTCAGAGGTTTCTGGGGTGGTATGTGTTTGCAGTTCATTCTGACATCTGGAGAAGTTAAAATATTTATTTTAATAATTCAGAAGCATGCTGCAAGTTTTAACCCTTCCAAAGATCTGAGTGGGTATTTTTAAAATTACATTTAATAAATTTATTACAAATACCCTTTTTCATAATGAGATCAATCAGAGACTTTTGTCTGTTACAGGATTGATAAATTAGGAAGCAAAGTCAATATATTTGATCTTACCAAAGTAGAAAGAGTCCTGGATTTAGTGTTGTAAGACCTAGATTCAAATCTCAGCTTTTCCTCCATCTGGGTGATGTGTTAGGCAAGTCACTTACACTCTATGGCCCTCAACTTTCTCATCTGAAAAATGGTAATTGAACTAAATGATATGCAGGGTTCCTTTTAGCTCTAAGTCTTTGATCTTATGTTAAATTCTTACTTGCAGAATTTTAAATTTCTGTTGCTTTCCCTCTCCTTCAGTTGTTATTGCTGCTGCTGCTACTAGTACTAGTACTACTGGCTAGCACTTATATGGCACCTACTGTTTGCCAGTCACTATGCCAGAGGGTTTACTAATATTATCTCATTTGATCCTTAAAACAACTCTGGGAAGTAAGTGCTACTATTACCCCATTTTATAGATGAGGCAGTGGAGAATGGGAGTAGTCAAGTGTCTTGCTCAGGGTTTACATAGCTAGTGAGTGTCTGAAGCAGAATTTGAACTCGGTTCTTCCTGACTCCAAGCCAGCGTTCTATCCACTGTGTCGCCTAGCTGCCTCTAACTGGTTTTAGTTCTATAACTACCAATGCTATTTCTAATGGTTATTTGAATGAGACTTCAAAAAAGAAAAATCCCATATAAATTTGAGGGATGTATCAATAACATTCCTATTTCATTCAGCCTGGAGTTTTGAGTTCATTTGTTTAGAAGGTGAGAGTAGGTAGATCTGTTGTTTTGGTGGTATTGGGTACTCAGAAAAACACATGCAGTTTAGTCATAGAGATTTACCTGTAGCACAGAGAGGTAAGTGACTTATCCAGGGTCACACAGCTAGTAAATGTCAGAGGGAGGAATTTATTAACCCAGGACTTTCTGACTTTCAGGCTAGCTCTCTGATGGGCTGAGGTACTTCTATTTCACTGTACAAGAAGAATCTTAAATTGAGTTACTTTACCCGTATTTTAAAACTACCAAAATGTTTTCTACGTAGCATGTTACTTACATGCACAACATGTTGTTTCTGTGTTATTTGTAAATATATATAGGAGACAGGCAGCTTGGAGTATTGAATGGAATGCTGGACTTGAAATCAGGAAGACCTGGGTTTCGCTCCCATTTCTTATGCTTACTGGCTGTGTGACCCTTGTGCCAGACTCTTCATTTCTCTGTGTTCAGGCATTTCCCTAAAACCAATCTACCAAGACTTAGACTGTCTTATCCTCAGTCTCAGAGGAGGGAATCCCCTAAACCGATGAAATCACTAATCCTTCCTGTATTCCCAGATTATTGTGTGTACATGTAGTCTACATTATTAATAATGTGGAAATAACGAGTGGCTTCTTAGCATCCATAGTTAAACACAGACATGTGTGAAACATGCAGTATGTGCCATGCATTGTATCTGGTGCCAATGTTAGGAAGAGAGATCCATGACGGGTCTGACTCGAGTCATTTATGGTCTCATGGGGGAAGGACGTGCACCCTAATAATATGATACAAGGGAGAGTGACCTAAATGCAAAGCAGAAACACAAGCCAAGTATTATGAGAAATTTGAGGAGAGAGATCAGTTTTCAGGTTGGGTTTGGGCTTTTTTTTTTTGAGGGCAGTTCTTCACAGAAGAGATGGTACCTCAGGTGGGCCTGGAAGACAGCAACACACAAGAGATGAAAGTGAGGAAGACTACATTCCAGGCACGGAAGGATGACCTGAATGGCGGCATATAGAGTAGAAAGGGTAAGTGGAGAATATAACTAAAATATTTGGAGATGCAGGATTGAAATATAAGGACTCAACTTTGTTCATAGATCCTTAAAATACCCAGAAACTAGAGCCTTAGTTTCTAAGGCTGTTTTGGGAAGGGACAACCTAATAGAATGCTACTGACCTGGAATTCAATTTATCAAGCTACAAAATGCAGGATTCTGAATCCAAGGACGTGGACTACATATCCCAGCATGCCATTGGCTATCTGAGTGACCCTGAACAAGTCACTGAACTTTCTGATCCTGTTTCCTCATTTATAAGATGAGGAACTTGGTTACATTATAGGTGGCTTTCAGCTCTGTCTTTAATCAATTGAATTGAGCTGAACCTAGATTACAAAGTTGTGAGGCAGGTCACCATCTGCACTAATGGAAGGATGAAAGAAGAAAAATAATTTTGGGTTTTTCTGTGACTTAAAAAAGGGTTTTCATATACCTCTGGTTTTTTAAAAAGAAATTAAATTCTGAATAGTCTGTGATATTGTAGCAGAAAGAGTAGGCACTCAAGTTAGGAGATATAGGTTCTAGTAACTAGTAATAGTACTAGTCACTAGTAGTATTGCGACTAGTAGTAGTAACTAGTAGCTCTACTAACTGGTCTTATGCTCTTGGACAAGTTAGTCACTCAACCTTTCTTTGTCAGTTTGTTTATCTGTAAAATTGATTAGGTGTTCAACCTTCCTTATGGTGGTTTTTAGGACCCAGCAAGTTAACAGATGAGAAAACATTCAGCAAATACATATGTGTGTGTGTGTTTGTGTGTATATATCCCTATTTATCACTTACTGCTTACACTATTCTTTAGGTCTGCCTTATAATCAGAGCACTTAATAAACAAGTCAATAAGTGCAGAAGATTTAAAGAAAGCTTTTCATTGAAACACTCCAGCCTTCCCTGGCAGGGAAGATGGGGATTTCTAGCTCCAAAATACCAGATCCTCCCCTACAAACACAAAAAAAAACAACTACCTTGATGTAATAACAATAATAATAATAATATTTATATATATAGGTTGTTACAAATGCTCTTGTGCAGTTTTAAGCAATTTAAGGCTAAAAAATTATTCAGAGACTTTTGGGATATCCTGATTATTCTTATTGTCGAAAGGTTATGATGCCAAATCGAAATTATAAGCTAAGAAAGAGTATAGCAAGTTAAAGTTCAGGAAAACTGAACTTTTAGAATGTTTTTTAGAGCTGAGGAATTGAAGTCAAACTCTTTCCAAAAGTTAAATCCTTCTGTTTGCTTGCATGATAGATTTAGGTTTTTTACTTTTTATTTAGCTCTTGGTGGGGGAAAAGTCCTTGTTTTGTTTGTTTTTTCCCCTTTCAAAATTTTGCAGTGGCAGAGCTGCGTCCTATCAAGAGAGCCTCTGACATGACTCCTTCTGTGAAGGTTCTTCTCCTCCTTTTCCTCCTCCTTCCTCCTCCTCCTTCTCCTTCCTCCTCCTCCTCCTCCTCCTCCTCCTCCTTCCTCCTCCTTCCTCCTCCTCCTCCTCCTCCTCCTCCTCCTCCTTCCTCCTCCTCCTCCTCCTCCTCCTCCTTCCTCCTCCTCCTCCTCCTCCTTCCTCCTCCT